CCCTAAATCGAATCAAGCATTACAACCCTAAATCGAATCAAAACCCTAAATCGAATCAAGCATTACAACCCTAAATCGAATCAAAACCCTAAATCTATTCAAGCATTACAGCAAATCATACACATAAAATCGAACAACAAATCGAATSAAACAGTCGAGTTAGGGCAAATCATACACAGCAAATCGTCGAGAAGGAGATGAAGGTATAGCCGTCGAGATGAAGGAGATGCCGGCGAGATGGAGCGACGGGGAAGACCGGCGAGATGAAGGTACAGCCAGCGAGATGGAGCGACGGGGAAGACCGGCGAGATGAAGGGACTTCGTCGGGAAGGAGATGAAGCGACTTCGTCGGGCAGCGAGATGTTTGTACAGCCGGCGAGATGGAGCGACCGTCGATTGAAACTCGCCGTCGATTGGAACTCGCCGGCCGTCGACAAGAGGAAGCGATCGAGACGATGGAGCGGTGAAGGGTYGTTCTTCTTGCAGCCGRGTGTGTGAAAAGGGTAATGAGGGAAATAGGTTGTGTTCCACTTAGTTCCAGGGGGGTGGGATGGAACACGCGTGTCCAAGGTTTAGCCAAGTTAGTTCCACTTAGTCCAATATTAGGCCACACCAAACACAGGACAAATGTGTTCTGTCCTGTTCTGTTCCACCCTGTCCAGCGTATCAAACGCACCCTAGTAGAACAAAAAAGCTCAACATATTTGTAAATGCTGACTTGATCTTTTAAAGCAAAACATGGCCTAATATAGACGTACGATAAAAAGAAAGTTAAACTACTGACAACTCAATAGAAAAACTAGGAAAACTTCAAGAGAAGAAACACCAATAAGAGTCACCTGTCAAGTACCCATAATTTTTTAATCAGTCGTTAACATGTTAACGGGTTAATATTCATTCCACTTATCCAACGTATTTTAGATACCCAAATAAAGATTCTAAACATACGTTGTTTAAAATAAAGATCAATAAGAATACGTTACCTAAAATAAAGATTTCAATAAAAATACGTTTATTTAATTTATACTAAAAGACCCCGTTTGATTATTTCACAACAAATTGTATAAAAACTAAACATTTTTTTTATAAATTACTAATATTGATGATATATCAAGGTCTTGTTTTTTTTTTTATTAAAAAAAACTCTTATCAATCTCTTATGCTTGATTCGTTAAGAGATATGTCACTCAGACAGCTTGTTTTGTTCAACTTTTCAGAGACACTTATGTCTTATTGTTCTCTTATCTGGTAAGAAGTAAAATAGCCTCTTATTTGTCTTTTATTGTTTTTCAAACCCTTAACAATGACGTTTCTCAATCGATTAACTTAAATCAATCATTCTCTCAGTAGATCCTTACCAAATCAATCCTCATCTCTCTCAATTGATGTATTTTAATATGATTTAAATACTGTCAATAACATGATTTTGTTTAAATGAATGTTAATTATATAATTTAAATGTAAACATCGTAATGACAATGAATAAATATGTGGAATTGTATAGATCTATCTATAAATTCAACACTATAATTTTTTAATAGATAAAATAGACAAAATTTCAGACATTCATAGTTTTCAAACTTAATACCAACTCTTATAAATTAGAAGTAAAATAAAACTTCAGATTTCAACCCTTTTAAAAAGAAAAAGCCACCTAAGATTTTATAAAAATAAATTTGAATAAAACAATTTTCATTATTAAATTATGTTCGAATGAAAATGATGTATATGTCGTGAAATGAAACTGAAATGTTAAGATTTAAGTTGGAAAAAGGTTATTAAATTTGACGTCAAATTCGTACTAAGAAAATACAGACAGGAGTTGACAGCTCTCCTGTCCCCATGCTTTTATCATCCATTATTGGTTCATCCTTCTCATCACTCTTCTTTCTTAATTCGGCTCAGCTCGGCTCTGCTCTGCTCTGCTCGCTTCACTTGAATTCTTCTGAATATTTTGGGGTTTCTGCAATTTCTAATGCTTGTTGACCTTTGATTTTGGTTTGATTTTGGTCATCGCATCAAGTCTTTTACTTCCATCCTTACTGAAAGTCTGAAATCGTTCTTCTTTCTATTAGTAACGAATCATTTTCACTTTTTTCTTTCGGATTTTTGTGGTTTCTATTAGACTACATAAAAAGTTACTGCTCTTTGAGGTTATTTTTGGCGATGGAACCTGTCATACCATCCCAATTGCAACTTGTTGGTCCAGAGATTCATGGCTTCAAAACCATGCAAGGTGCGTTTTAATCTGTATGTGTGTGTGCGTATATATATACATATATATATATATATATGTCATATGTGTAATGATTTTTAATTATTTCGTGTATTAAGAAGAGGTTACATTGGTAAAAAATAGCATATTATTATGAACAGTAACGAGTAACGACTATGATTGGCTACTAAGCTTAAAGAAAAAGTGTTTCTAAAAAATCTTGCAGCTTAATGAATTAGAATCGTCTTAGTGATTTGTTTATGGGAGGTTATCTGATTTTCTCTCTCGGACGTGGATTATTTTGGGGATTAAGTTAGTACTGAGTGGTTGGGGGATCATAATTCATAACCTTATAAAATGGTAGCGCTTGGGGTTTCTTTTTGGAAGTGTGAGAAATGTGAAATCCATGGTATTACTGGAGGGGAGAGAAGAGAGATGCCAACATAGATAGAGGATAAAAGGTCCAAGTCTACCGACATAGGACTCTAAACAGGTCCTCTCCAATGGAGGCTGGAAGGGTCTGATTGTCCCAGAGTGTTAGAGGGGGATGGATGGGTAAGGGGACTAGACTAGTATAAAATGCCCTTTAGTTCTAATACTACCATGTGAGAATATGCGGATCCCATCAAATTACTTTCAAAAAGAGCTCTTGAGAAGAGAAGATATATTACAACATATATAGAGGAGCAATAGGCCAAGTCTATCCGATATTAGGACTCTTAATATGAAGAAAAGGAAGAAGTGATAAGAAAAGAAAAGGCGATAACGGGTTTCTTCTATCTTCGTTGAATTGAGAGAAGAAAAAGTGGCTATAAGTCCTCTTAGTTTATTTCTTTATGGTTCCACTTGGTGGCAAAAAGTATGAAACTATATCATATTTGTCGTTGTGATGTTTAACCTTTCCCTTTTCTACTCTTGTTGATTGGAGCCCCAATGACTGGAGTCCCGACGACAGTGTAAAGTTGATGTAAAAATCTAAACATACATCATTGCACCTGAAGAGAAAAGAATGTGTTTCAAATAAGTATGTAGCAGCTAAATGTGGGTTAAATTGATAAATCCGTTAGAACCATGCAGCTTGAGTTAATAGATTGGTTAATTACGATGTTTCCTATCAGCAATATCTTATCTTGGCCTAAGGATGATTCATGCAAGAAATAATGTCATTTTCGGATTTGCATTTTGTTGGTACTGCTTTTTGACTATATAGCAATAAGTATGCTATGAACCAAATTATATTTCCATGCGATTGTGGTAAATTTAGTTGTTCGGTCATGGGTAGTAGCTTTAAATCGAGTCAAATTCCTTTTCTGTATGCTGTTTATGCAGCATACGATATTATCTTATCATATGCAATGTGTTAAAAACATTTTAAATATTAATAGCTTTGTCTTGTCTTTGAATCTGGAATCGTGGCAATCAGGTATAATTATCTTGAACATCACTTGCCATTGACAAGTGACCTTCCTAGTAGTGTTCTCGTAGCCTGCTTATTGCTACGGTATATTAGATCCCAGACCTTGTTTATTATTCACAAAGATGTACGAAGGCTCTTGATATGCCTTCAGTATTAATGGTTATAATGGATCCCAGACCTTGTTTATGATACACCCTTTCTCCTAAGCAAGTATCATGATATCCCCATTCCAAACGATCTTCTTATTAGAATGTATCACACTTTCTGGAAGGTAGAACTCGAGTGAACTGGCTCTCCACATTATCCACATTGCTTGGCTTGATGACTCTTGAAAGGAACTAGTTCTTCTTTGTTATGATTAATATAATGGAAGAACTACCAATTGCAATGCCAAGTTGTGTTTTTTACACTTTCCGAACCATACAACGGCTGGAGACTTGTCAACAGGATTGTTCTTTCTTTAAATTGGTGAGAAGTGTCTTTCACGGACGAAACTATGATGGGGTCACTAGTTGTAGGGATTAGGGCATGCAAATGCAAATCTTGTAACATCACTTGTGACTACATAATAAACAGAGATTTTACTTGTATTGATTAAGATAATAGAAGTGCTAGGTAGGGATCTCTACTGGTCGTACCAATATAAAAGATGGTCATATCTAAAGTTAATTAATGATATAACATTTTTGTTCCTATATTGATCTTCATCTAATTCTGACCCTTCATTCCGTCTAAGAGCGTTTCTTTCTTCCATGAACAGATTTGGATGTACCCACCATGTTTGAGGAAGCTAAGACAAGATGGCTCCGGCCAAATGAGATCCATGCAATACTTTGCAACCACAACTATTTCAACATTCATGTGAAGCCGATGAATTTGCCAAGAAGTAAATCTAATCTCATCTTCTTTTGTGGATTTTATGAGGTTATCTTTCTTGGTTAAGATGGCTTTGGCGTCCTGTAGCATGGACTGTTCAGACTTGCCTCTCTTGATTCTGGAAAAGCTCTATTAGAAATGTTAAAGATTCACTCGTACATTTTTGCTAAGAGTGCTAAAAATTTATTCCTTAATAGATTAACTCCTTCCCTGGATTTGCCATTGCATTATGTACCCAAATGGCCCAAACCATAGGCACTTAATCTTTCTGCAATCATATAGGTGGCACCATCGTCCTATTTGACCGAAAGATGCTCAGAAATTTCCGGAGGGATGGCCACAATTGGAAAAAGAAGAAAGACGGAAAAACTGTCAAAGAAGCTCATGAACACTTGAAAGTAAGCTTCTTTTTTTTGCTGCTTTATATACATATCTGCATGCACAAAGCGATTTGAGTGACCACTCATGCTAAATAGTGCTTGTTGAAGCTTGAAGAGAATATTAGATGTAAAAGAGGTAGTGATGTAGGGTCCTATGGAGGGGACTACAAGGGTGTTTTGTATTCTATTTCTCCTAAAACATATACCCTTGTGGTACATGATAATGCATTCCATTTGCTACCTAGTCATCTTCTTTAATTCAGGTCAAGGTGCAGTTCCTTGCAAACAAATTTTGGTTGATGAGTTCTCTTCTCATCTAGTAGCAGAAGTATGTTCAAATTAAATAAAAGATGCCCAAGTAAAAGAAATTTGTAGATATGGAGAACACTTTTAAAATTCTACTAGTCATAATGTGGAACAACAAAGGGAACTATGTTAGAATATTCTCATGATCATCATCTTCTTCATCAATTATAACAGGTAGAAGGGGTGCATTCTATACATGAATAAATAGTTTTTATAATGAGAGGAGTGCACCGAGTTTCAAAATCATTACGAGTATCATGTCTCTCTATTATCTAGTTGAACTTGAAGGGGGTTGCCTTGTGTTGCAAATGAATTTTTTCAACCCCTGATGTTTTTCTTGCCTGGGTATCAGCCTTAAAATTTTATTACAACTGAATGAAGAAAGGCCATGTTATCAAAATTGCTGAAAGAAGATATGGCAGCAAATTATCCTGACAAATGTGCGTACTTAATCTTGCTTATTGCTTTGGTGGATTATATGTGTGAAACTTGGTATCATCAGTGTGCATCATTGACTAATAGGTCATTACTATTAGTAAATATGTTAATTATTATGTAAATCATGTATTTTAGGATAGTTTGTTAGTCATTGATGGTAGAGATTATCTCCTTGTATTTCTGTATTCTCTCTTCCTATATTAAGGGTTGATGATGTATAATGAAAGGTATTGATAATTTACCATAAACACTTTTATGGTATCAGAGCCTATCTCTGAGAAACCCTTGAAACCCTAGCCTCCGTCTTCCTCGTTTCCGTTGTCTCTCCTTCTCCGGCAAGAAGAAACCCGATTGAGCCATGGCTCCATCATCCAACGAAACCACACCCAAAACAACAAACCTCACGAACATCCAGAATAAAGTTCGGATACTAGATGGGACCACGGTTACGTATTCGTCATGGGTAAAGATTTTCAAGCTTCATGCTAGAGGTTACAAGGTACTCAATCACATTGACGGTACGCCGCCACCGAACAGCGCCGATGCAACCTACGAAACATGGGCTGAGATCTATGCGATCATGTTGCAATGGATCTATGGTACGTTGTCTAACGATCTCCTTGTTCGTGTACTTGATTCGGATGCTACTGCCTACGATGCTTGGACTAAGATTCGCGACATTTTCCTCAACAACAAGGGCTCCCGGGCTGCCGCCCTCGAACACGAATTCACAAACCTGACTTTGACCGCTTGCTCTTCTATGGACGAGTATTGCTAGAAAATTAAAGGTCTCGCAGAACAACTCACGGATGTGGATAATCCGGTTAATGAAAAGCGAATGGTTCTTCAGTTGGTTCGTGGTCTTCCTGCAGACTTCGACATGGTCGCCTCTTTTATTAACCAAAGCTCTCCTTGGGACATGACATGTAGCATGCTTCAACTGGAACAACAGCGTCAATTAGCTCGCCAAAATTCAACCCAAACAGCTATGGTGGCTCCCTCTGCTCCCAAGGGTTCGCATGTCGCACCATTGCGCCGCCGCCACCCTCTGTCGATCAGCGATCATATGGCAGGGGTCGTGGTCGTGGCCGGCCTTATGCCCGTGGGGGACGATCGTCTAACCTGGGTCGTGGTCGCTCTTTTGCTCTGGCTCCACCGCCTACCACCTACCCACCGTGGGCCTGGTGGGCCCCGCCGCCCTGTCCGTATCCAACACAACCAAATGCATGGCCCAATGTCTCCTGGCCCGGTAGTCCTTCTCTGCAGGCACCATCGGCCCAATCTGCTGCGGCCCATATTGCGTATCAACAAATAGGATCGTCTTCTGTGCAGTCCGATTCAGTGGCCCAATCATCCGACACTCAGCCTATGCACGATTTTGATGCTCTAAATCCGACTAATCTTGGAGCCGCTTTTCACAGAATGCATCTCAATTATCAAGATCCTTCGTGGTATATGGATACAGGGGCATCTTCTCACATGATTGCAGATGCAGGTAAAATTCAATTCCCTTTATCATCTTCTAATAGACGTACTGTGTTCGTTGGTAATGGCACTAGTATACCTATTAAAGGATCCTGAAATGCCATACACGTAACTCCTCATAGCACCTTCCATCTCCGCAACATCCTGTACACACCAAATATCATTAAAAATCTCTTATATGTTCGCCAATTTACTCGTGATAATAATGTGTCTGTTGAATTTGATCCTTACGGCTTTTCTGTGAAGGATCTCAAGACCGGGACGATTCTTTCGCGCCACAATAGTCCGGGTGATCTATACCCCTTCACCGCACCCAACTCCTCATCATCGGTTCACCTAGCCACCTCCACCACCGATCAATGGCACAACCGACTCGGACACCCTGGCGCTACCGTTTTAGATCTTCTTCGTACTCGTTTATTTATTTCTTGTAATAAAGTCAACCCGTGTACGGTGTGCTACTCATGTCAATTGTCGAAAAGCAAAAGATTATCATTCTATGATTCAATTACTACTACTTTTGCACCATTTGATATCATTCACTGTGATTTGTGGACCTCTCCTGTTAGTAGTACTTCCGGTTACAAATATTATATGGTACTTCTTGATAACTTTACACAATATATCTGGATTTACCCCCTTAAATATAAATCTGAAACCTTCGTCAACTTCACCAAATTCCATAGACTTATCCTCACTCAGTTTAACCGTAAAATAAAATCGTTCCAATGCGACTTGGGGGGGGGGAATTTGATAACAATGAATTCAAAACATTTGCTTCAACCAATGGTCTTGTGTTCCGCTTCTCGTGTCCCCAAACCTCACCTCAAAACGGCAAATCTGAACGCATGATACGTCATCTTAACGACATTGTTCGTGCTCCTTACCCATGCTCACCTTCCCCCAAAATTCTGGGTCGAGGCTCTTCATACCGCCGCTTACCTTCACAACATTCTACCAATTAAATGCCTAAACTCTCTTACCCCTGCCTTTGCCCTATACCTTCGACACCCAACGTATGACCATCTACGGGTCTTCGGGTGTGTTTGTTACCCAAACACCTCTGCGACTCAACCCCACAAACTCCACCCCCACTCTCTCCGCTGCATCTTTCTCGTGTATCCTACCAATTTTCGGGGTTACCGCTGTCTTGACCCAACGACCGGAAAAGTCCTTCTATCTAGACATGTCATCTTTGATGAAAACTCCTTCCCGTACACCAACACTTCACCATCAAACTCCTACACTTTCCTTGACGTCCACCCTATTCCGTCACCTTTCTTCACCTCTTCCTCACCATACGACACACCACCACCCTCGCCTCCCTCGCCACCACATCTGCCCCAAATGCCACCATCTCCACCATCCCCACCGTCACCCACCATCCCGCCCACAACCAACACCCACACTATGACTACCCGTGCCAAGCACGACTTCTTCAAACCACGCCAACCCCTATACCTTCATACCTCCACCCATCCTCCCATCTCTCCTATCCCATCCACCTACGCTAAGGCTATCCAGGATCCAAATTGGTTAAGTGCTATGAACAATGAATATAATGCGCTATTGGACAATGATACTTGGGAGCTTGTACCTCGTCCCACTGACCGCCCAATTATACGCTGCATGTGGTTATTTCGCCATAAATATCGTGTGGATGGGACTCTTCAACGATACAAAGCTCGCTTGGTGGTTAATGGGAAATCTCAAACGGTTGGGATTGATTGTGACGACACATTTAGTCCGGTGGTCAAACCAGCTACTATTCGAACGGTCCTAAGCCTTGCCGTCTCTCGTTCTTGGCCAATTCACCAACTAGATGTAAAAAATGCGTTTCTACATGGTGATCTTCAAGAAACGGTTTTTATGCATCAACCACCAGGCTTTGTTGATAAAAATACCCCACATCACGTCTGTCGTCTTCGTAAATCGCTATACGGCCTTAAGCAAGCCCCACAGGCGTGGTATAATCGATTCGCAACTTATATCACCAACAATGGGTTTCGAAGCAGTGCTTGTGACAACTCCTTATTCATTTATCGGCAAGGCACTCATACTGCTTATCTTCTGTTGTATGCCGACGATATCATTCTTACAGCCTCGGACTCCAACCTATTGAATTCCATCATTAAGACCCTATCGCGGGAATTTGCTATGACGGATCTTGGGACGTTACATCATTTTTTGGGAATTTCGGTTCAGTGCGACAAACACGGCTTGTTTTTATCTCAAACTCAGTATGCACAAGACATTCTTAAACGGACGTCTATGACTAATTGCAATCCATGCAATACACCTGTGGACACCACCTCCAAGCTTAGTGCTACTGTAGGCAACCCATTACCTGATGGTACTTTATATCGCAGCTTGGCCGGTGCACTTCAGTATCTTACGTTTACCAGGCCCGACATCTCTTATGCGGTACAACAAATTTGTTTGTTTATACATGCACCACGGGATTCGCATTTTAACTTCATGAAACGCATACTTCGATATATTAAAGGAACACTCGACTTCGGCATACGCATCATTGCATCACCTAGTCACACTCTTACAGCCTCCTCGGATGCAGATTGGGGTGGTTGCCCTGATTCGCGACGATCCACTTCCGGTTATTGCGTTTATCTTGGTGACAATTTAGTATCTTGGTCATCCAAAAGACAACCCACCATATCTCGTTCCAGCGCTGAAGCCGAATACAGAGGGGTCGCAAATGCCGTGGCTGAGGCAAGTTGGCTGCGCAATTTACTTCTTGAGCTTCACGTCCCATTACGCAAGGCAATTGTGGTTTATTGTGACAATGTTTCAGCGGTTTATCTGTCAGGTAACCCGGTTCAACATCAGCGAACCAAGCATGTTGAAATTGATATTCATTTTGTGCGGGAAAAAGTAAAAATTGGTCACATTCGTGTTCTTCACGTACCCGCCGCTTACCAATTTGCCGACATTTTTACAAAGGGTCTACCTCGACAGCTATTCGAAAACTTTCGTACCAGTTTGAGCGTCTGCTCTCCTCCCGCTCTAACTGCGGGGGACTATTAGTAAATATGTAAATTATTATGTAAATCATGTATTTTAGGATAGTTTGTTAGTCATTGATGGTAGAGATTATCTTATTGTATTTCTGTATTCTCTCTCCCTATATTAAGGGTTGATGATGTATAATGAAAGGTATTGATAATTTACCATAAACACTTTTAATTACATGGTCCAAAACTAACATTTGGAGGTGAAATGTGTAAGTTCACAATGTTCAGGACTTGAGCAAGATTTAAGCACTTTGATTTTCAGCTAAAGATAGGTTGGTCAAGTTACTGCAAAAACATTTATATGGGCTTTATATCTTGATCCTTACACAAGAAAGTTATGCTTATGTTTATTGAGACTAAAAATCTGTAGACCTGTGTAGAATGCCAAATAACATCAGTCATGTGCAGAGATCTATAGAGGGCTATAGCGAGCACCTAACCCCCATGATTTTGAATAAGTACACACAATTTCATGTTAAATTTATTGGAAGTCATATCTAGTTTAGTTAATAAGTTGTGTGAAGTTTATGCAAGGAGTCCCTTGTCCAGGTCTCTTGGGTGTCAAGTGCTTCTCGTCTGACATTTAGGGTGCGTTTGGTACGTAGATTGGATGGGGCGGAAATGGCAGGAGTGAGGTAGGTAGGTGAAAGAATTGTGGAAAGTTTTAAGGTTTTAATTTAACATTGGTAGTTGAGTAATTTATCTATTTTCCCCCATCTCCCTGATTCTTCTCCCACTTATTTTGATGGGACACAAAAAGTGCATTTGTGTCCACTAAATCATTTATGTCCCAGTCTTTCTGTCGCTTCAAACGTGGGACAACAAGTCTTTGCTTTGTACTCTCCTTGCGTACCAAAGCACACCCTTAATGTTGTACCTTGCAAAAATAATAATACATCCATTTCAATATATGTTGAACATACTATTATATCTGGATTCTTTATTTTGAAGCTTTGTTACTTCTCCGGTCCCTATGTCAAAGTAGTTCATTTAGTCACAAAAATAATTGCATCTGCTTCTCCTTGCCTCTTTCATCAACTACAGTTGTCCCACTTCAGGGGGTAAATTCTTGCTCTCATGATCTAATTTTATTCTCTCTCATAAAATTGGAAATTGATGTAGTTTATACAAATAAATCGAATACATCTTAGTTATTAGTTTGAATTAGTATTCTCTTTTGGGTTATAGTTGTGCTTTATATCAAAGTTCCAGTGCTCGAGTTAGGTTGATGATTTGAGTAATTAAGTTGTCACCTAGGGGTGTTCGTGGTCCTGTTTGGGCGGTTTAACCTCTTAAACCACAAACCAAACCGCAATGGCGGTTTAGAAAAATTCCAAACCGAGCGGTTTGGTAGCAAGTGACCAAATCGGTTAAACCAAACCACAAAGAGGCGGTCTGGTCTGACGCGTTTAAGCAGTTTGGGCCTCTTATGGGCTTTAAACTAAAAAAAAATATAACATTTATATTTAAATAAAATTTCTAGCAATAGAACTTTATTAAAAAATAGTATACTTAGAAATTTATTAAAAAATAGCATACACTATGGTATATGCCTTGAGCATAATTTTGATTATGAGACTTGACAAGGTGTCAATACATAGTTGGAGGCTTTGGAGAAGCATTTTGGGATCTAAATGTTTTTGAATTAAGCTGGAGTATGATTAAAATTTACTGAAATCCTGAGGTGGCATGAGAGTTTGGCCGTCTTATATAAGTCCGTTGGATATAATTTACTTGTTCATTCCATCATATGCAACTCTCTCTTATATAATTAGTGGGGTACTTGTATGTTCTCCACTATCTGATTCAGTTTCCACATATCTTAATTTCACTTTATGGTAGTTACTTCAATCTTTTTACTATTTAGGAATCCCAGATTTTTGTTTAATTTTATAAGCAAATATTAGTGAACGCTGTTATGATATAATATATCAACTTTGTTGATATAGGTTGGTAATGACGAAAGGATTCATGTGTATTATGCACATGGCGAAGATCAGACAACCTTTGTTCGCAGATGTTACTGGCTTCTTGATAAGTATGCAACAATTGAAGATTGCATGGGTTATGAACCCCTCTTTTTTCATTAATAGTTTATACCACATTAAAGATACTTCATCTCTTTAGCCAAATTTCAATAGTCTGTTTTATTTTTTTAAACATCATTTGTTTTGCTTCTGTTACAGGAAACTGGAACATATTGTTCTTGTTCATTACCGTGACACTCAGGAGGTTGGTCCATCACGAAATTCTCAATCCTAGTAGATATATGTACATGTATGACATTGCATGTAGTTCCTTGTTGAGATGTGGCTGTTAAAAGAAGACTGTATGTTCACCATCGTACATAAAATATAGAATCCCCTCCATTGTATGGATGCAGAAATTTGTCCTTCACTTTGATGTGTGTGGAGCTATTCACTTGGAACACCACCCCACATGAATTAATTCTGTGTGGGCCTAACACTCTTGATTTGCTTCTAAACTACCCTGCATGTTAGATGCATCTTGTAGCACTATATGTGGACGGACTTCCTATGATATACTTCCCCTTCCCAAATGTATTAGTCTTTCAAGTTTTCGCATACCTATTAAGGTATGCCATGATTATAATTTATTTGTAAGAATCATACCTTTGACTCCATTCAAAGAAAGAAAGATGGATTAGGGATCTTTATGGACAAGTATTATCCAAGTGCTACAGATAACATTTTGAAAAATGAGAAAATCTGTAAGGGCTAACAAATTGGAAACAAGGGAGTATATAAATACACCTGTGTGTGTTTGTGGAAGATCGATCTACATGCTCATTCATATATGCCAACTTACATACATAAAATAATATGAGATTTCATGTTTTAGCATGTCATGTGTTCTACAGCGTCCCTTTTGCACTTCTTGACCTAGTATGTTTGAAGTGCAGTTTGTTCTGTGTTTGGTTAGGCACAGTGATATACTTCTATATGGCTCTATCATATGAGGTTGGGGCTGCATGGTGATACTCTATACATATATCATTACCAGCTCAAGCTATTTAGACAAGTCCATCACCCAACAATTTATGTGTCAGAAGCCAAAAAGATGTGATTTTCCTTCCACAAATAAGATAAATAGCCATTTCTCTTGAAAACACTGGAAGGTCTGTGATCAAACTACATGATGCCTTGCTCTGTGGTGTCCCATACTCGGCTCACATTATTTTCCTAACATATCCAAAATAGATCTTGGCATACTGATTACATGCAAATTGATATGACTGCACTTGTGTAAGCTAATTTGGAACTTCAGTTTTCAACTCAACTTTGGCCCTTCTCATTAACAAATGCCACTTGCTACTTACAGCTATTCTGAACCCATTATGCAGTTGCAAGGTTCCCCGAATTTTGAATCGAATGCCAGTTCAGACCCACCTACTTCATGGAATCTGTCGGAAGAAAATGAAGGGATTGATCAGGTTCATTATGCTGGTGCGTAAGTTTATTGACTGATTTTAAAAACTCCGTGTATGATATGTAAAGACTCATACCGGCTAGAGTGGATGGTAATTTGTTATTTCATTTTACTTTCCTTATTCTTACCTATTGGCTACTGTGAGATGAAAACAGTTAAAATATAAAATCCTTAAGTCTTCTGAGTGTTTAAAAACCACTTAACAATGAGGACTAGTTGATTATAAAAACAAAATGACGTTCAGGAGAACTTAGAATCACCCTTGACATAGAAAATTAATGATTATGCTTCAGGTTACAGATATCAACTGTCTTAGTCATGAGAAGAAGATCAGCTTCAGGGTAAAAAAAGTAAGATTTTACTTTGTTTGTGATTCTGCAGAGCCTAACGAGACCATAATAAATCATGAGATGAGACTTCATGAAATCAACACGCTTGATTGGGATGAGCTTGTGGTCGTAGATGGCCCCAATAAGTTAATCACCCCTGAAAGAGGTAATTAACTTTGTTTAGTTGTGATAAAGATGGCAGCTGCTTGATAATTCAAGGAACAATTGAATCTGATTGGACTGTATGAATCATTCTTTTTTCCTTGCAGGAAACATATCATACTTTGATCAGGATTACCAATATGGGGTAAGTGGATTTGTAAATACTGTAAGTAGGGTATCACTGCCAATTTGTTTTTTGGTAAAGAAAGATCTACATGATCTAGTGCTATAGTTGCCATTCTAGGTTTGTCATATGTCTTCTCAAAAGACCATTAGTAATGCTCCTTCTGCTCTGTTAGATATTGTATATTGTTAGTTAATTAGGGTTTTACTTTATAATATCTGAAGTAGAGTTTCCTAATATGGGTTATCTTTTTAGTATATAAAGTATGAAGACTTTGATGTCAAACCTAGTACTTCCCAGATACAAAATTGATATGGACTCATCACCAGCAAATTAGTTTGTTATACCTTTCTTTGTTACCACTATGAAAATCAATTAGCATTCGTTATTTGTTGATATGTGTTTTGCAGTTTTGCTTTGATTTTGTGTGTCGACCTTAGTACTTCTCAAAATCAACTTTCATACAAACCATCATTTCTATTGACAACATATTTTTCCATTTGCAATGTTTTAATTAATTCCAGTCAATTTGAAACAGAAGAGTAGTATGTTTTGACTGTCATAGTCAACAATGTGTTTGGCCCCAAGGGACATCAGAAGTGATTACAGATTAGGATCTGAGAACTCACACTTGCTGTGAATCCTTGATGGGATTTTAACTTGTGGAATATGTTATAAAGTTTCATGTATATAACACTCCTATAAAATTTCAGAAAAGATACAAAAATTGGTCATTTGCACTTTTTGTTGAAAAGGAATGGTGACATCTGCAGTAAGGCAGCATAATGGTTTGAAAGTGACAAAGGGCTAAAGGTGGATTATCATGTCCAGATTTGTCAACTTATATGTGCTAACGATCTATTATGTAACATCCACAGAATGGATACATAAAAGTGTCAGAATCTTTTTTGTTAAATATCATTATGTGATTGGAAATTACAGATTAGCATGCATGCTTTTGTTCATATACAATTTGGTTAAATTCAATATATCATAGGTAAGAGGATTGTTTCTTTGCTGACTCTTCCGTCATGAAGAGGCCTCATTCTATATATCCTTCAGTTCTCATTTTCTCTTCTGTTCCTTTTTGTCAAAAGGATCAGGTCAATCTTGTTAACTCAACTAAGCCACCTGTAACCACTTTTTTAATTTTTAAAGATCAATTGTCACAGAAAAGTTTCTAGAGGATCTTTTATTCATCCACTTGACTAAGTCATTCATAAGCCTAATGTTGCTAGAACTTAAATCTCTCAGTATTATTATTGCAGATGTTACAGGGCAACGATACAAGTTTACAGAATAACTCAACCTTTGTGCACAAACTATTAACGGATGATCAATCTGCCACATTCCGTCCTGGAACAGTCGGTGAGGGAAATACCTATGACCTCAGCTTTTCCAACATGAACATTCAAAGGACAGGGATCAGGGAGCATTCAAATTTACAGATGGACCCCAAACTTGTAAATGTTAGCACTGATAGTTTAGACACTCTGGGCAAGGATGGAATGGAAAATGAAGATAGTTTTGGAAGATGGATGAATTACACCATGACTGACTCTCCTGTTGTGATAGATGGTCCAACTCTGACACCAGAACGTTTGGTTTCAACTGGTCAAGGAACAGTTAGACCTCCAAGTGGTTATAATCAACAGTCACATTCCTTGCAGCAAATATTCAGTATAACCGACATCTCGCCTTCATGGGCTTCATCTAATGAAGAAACAAAGGTTCTGTTTATATGACCATTTTAAATATGTAGCACTTTTCAAATTAAAGGGACTGTTTTCTAACTTGAAATTTGATATGAACTGTTCAAGTGTTTATTGCATGATTGCATCAAACTATGTTATAGGCATTGAAGGTAGGAATACTTCCATAGATGATGTTCATGTAAATTTTTGCCATATCTGAAAGCTACAATGGGAGCAGGAATGAACACTGATCCACATAACTTTATCACAACAGTCATAGATTATTAGACTGTGTTGTGATGTTTTGACCTTTACTATCTTTGCTGCAGATTTTAGTGGTCGGAGTTTTCCATGAAGAGCATCGACACTTAGCAAACTCCAATCTATTTTGTGTCTGTGGAGATGTTTGTCTTCCTGTCGAAGTCGTCCAATCTGGTGTATTTCGGTGTTTTGTATCTCGTCACAGCCCAGGAATAGTCAACCTTTTCATCAGTTATGATGGCCACAAACCCATAAGTCAAGTTATGGCATTTGAATACCGTGCTCCTCCTATCAATAAGTCAATAATTTCTTCGGAAGAAAAGTCTGAGTGGGAAGATTTCCAAAATACGATGAGACTGGCTCATCTTCTTTTTTCTTCATCCAGGAGCCTTAATATCTTATCCAGTAAAGTACCAGCAAAGGCCCTGAAAGAAGCCAAAATCTTTGCCCACAGAACCCGATCCATTGTTAATAGTTGGGATGTTCTGATAAATTCAATTACAGGAACAAGAATATCTTTCCAACGCGCCAAAAGTAGCTTATTGGAGCTCACTTTACAAACCAGACTACTTGAATGGCTTTTGGAAAGAATATTAGATGGAGGAAAGATCCCTGATCGTGATGTTCGAGGTCAAGGAGTAATTCATTTGTGTGCCATACTGGACTACACTTGGGCTATGTTCCCATACTCATGGTCAGGCTTATCAATCGATTTTCGTGACAAATTGGGATGGACGGCTCTTCATTGGGCAGCGTATTATGGAAGGTAAGTTGCTTCTTCGTTTACCACGTCCACGTCTACATTTGAATGAGAAACTGTCTACACTTGATCTTTACATCTTACTATCTTAACAGTTGTTTCTAGTAGGTATAATATTACATCAAGATCACGTGTCAGCATGTAGTATATATACCATGAAAACTGACATGTTAAAGAAACTAATGCAGTTTTAAATACCAAGAACATCTTGTCATGATTTGTATATAGCTATTGCTGTAGACATAGTAAAGCTAAAAGCTTAGGGTGGGAATCTGTAGCTAGCCTAGACGGGCAAAAGGGATCTGGAGAGGTAGAGGATGGGGGTAGGGTTAGTCGGCCGGCAGTGAGATCTCCGGGAGTCCTAGGTTAGACTAGGGTGTTTAGTTCTTCCTACCCCGCTCGTGTTTGTTTGTATGTTTGTTTGTTTGTTTCGCTGTTTTAGTGCTGTTGCTTCTTTCTAACAGATTTTCAGTTTTTAGTACCGCAATCTTTTTTAGCAAGCTTTCCTTTCTTTTCACACACATTGCACGAGTCGAGGTCTTCACAGAAACAACCACTCTCTTCTTTGGGGTAGATGTCAAGTCTGCATACATCTCACCCTCCCCAGACCCCACCTACGGGTGGAACATACTGAGTTTGGTTTGGTTTATAGTATTTTTGGATTATGCTCTTGATCTTCCAATTAAATCTTCACTTCCAGGCAAAAGTCTGTTGCATCCCTTCTATCTGCAGGGGCGAATCCAAATTTGGTGACAGACCCCACTTCAGAAAATCCTGGTGGATGCACTCCTGCTGATCTTGCATCCAAGAGTGGTTATGAGGGGTTGGCTGCTTTTCTTGCAGAGAAGGCATTGTTGGCCCATTTTGAGGCTATGACATTAGCTGGAAATGTTAGTGGCTCGTTGCAGTGTACAATCCCGACTGATGATGATTTTACCACGAATGGCCCAGTGACCGAAGTTAATGAAGAGGAGCAATATCTGAAAGATACCCTGTCTGCTTATAGGAGGGCTGCTGATGCTGCAGCACGTATACAGGCTGCATTCAGGGAGCAGTCATTTAAACTGAAAACAAAAGCGTTGGAATTTGTCAATGCAGAAGATGAAGCACGCTGCATAATAGCGGCTATGAGGATTCAGCATGCCTTTCGCCACTATGAAACAAAGAAACAAATGGCAGCTGCTGTCCGCATACAGCATAGGTTTCGTACATGGAAAATAAGAAAAGACTTTCTGAATAAGCGTCGTCAAGCGATCAAAATTCAAGTAAGAACTGTTCATAACCATTTTTCAGTTTTATTGGAAAATCTAGTTGACAGTTGAGTCATTTATATGGCATGCGGTAGAGCTCCAACTTCATATTGTGATTATCCTTGTATAGCTATTAAGCCCACCAGATTGCTACCCCCTTTGTCCCTAAATAATGCAAAGTTTTAATAGGCACATAGCTCAATGAAAGAGTTTGATCATTAGTCAAATATCTAAAATAACTCTCAACAAAGACAAATAATGAGAATTATATTATCTTGTGATGGTTACCAAAGGGTAAATAAATAATATTGGAATGAAACTTTTCAAAAAAAAAAATGGTATCTTGTAAGACAACCCAAAACGGAAATTGCTGCGTTTTTTTGGAGTATGTAATTGTTTACCATGGTGTAGTTAATGTCTAGATGTTAATGTCCATCCTCTTTCCAACCACATTTAAGTGTCCTAAAAGGCACCTTGAAAGACAAAATAGAAAGATGACAGTCTTCCATGGTTTTTTCATTTTCACACTTAAATTCTCATATAGCGTTCAGGTGTGAACTCACAAATCGAAATGCTCAATAGTTGAGGGTCCATTTTTCAGGTCACAAGAAATGACCTTCTCATTTATTGATTTGTTAAACTTCCTCAAAGTTTTGAATTTATTACTTGTATGACATGGATGGGAATGAGGTACTTGATAACTTTCATGGGTACAAGTATAAGACCAGCCCAATATATCCAACACAATGGTAGGGTCCGGCCCTGCTCCCGCAGGGGGGGGGGGGGGGATGTACGTAGATCTTGCTTCTACCCGTGAGGGTAGAGAGGCTATTTTCATGAAGACCCCTAACTTGCAAAACAAAAGCAAAACCAAGCTGACATTTGAGGAAGCGGCATAGTAACATAGGAGTGTATACAAACACGCAATAGACACGAGGGACATAAGATAAAAGATAAAACAAAGCATAAAGAAGACATGAAAAATAGGAAAAACTAAAGCAACTCTCTATCTACCATAAGGCTCTAGTAACCTAAGCGCCACTACTCCCCCCTCCCCACCTCTACCTTCTCTAAACTCCCCTACTCCTAGCATTAGAAGTATCTTACCGTTAAATCTTTTATAGAGGTATGCATTTCAAAAAACCATTAACATTTCAATCATTTGATCATCCATTTTGCCCTTGTTGAAACTACAATTTTGTTGCGGCCTATATTGTTTTGGTGATTTTATCTATATCCCAAAGTATGCAAACGATTCATCTTTCTTCCCTAAGCTATTCAATTCTGTAGATTTGGTTTGTTGGGTAAAAGAAAAATCACATTTTTTATGCAGGCCTTTTTCCGTGGTCTCCAAGTTCGAAGGGAGTATAAGAAGATATTATGGTCAGTAGGAGTGCTAGAGAAAGCAATTATTCGTTGGCGTTTAAAGCGAAAAGGCTTTAGAGGTCTTGAAGTTGCTCCAATTCCAAATGAAGATGAGAAGCAAGAAATCAGTGGCGAGGAAGAGTTCTTCAAATCCAGTAGGAAACAAGCTGAAGAGCGTGTTGAGAGATCCGTTGTTCGGGTCCAAGCCATGTTTCGGTCAAAAAGAGCTCAAGAAGAATATAGAAAGATGAAGCTAGCACTTAACCAAGCAGGGGTATGTATAATGTCTCCAGACTTCAAGCACTTTGAGACCAATTTTTGCTGCTACTCCTGACCCAAAATAAATTCAACATTCACGTAGTTTTAGAGCGAACTTTTCAAATCATCGTACTTGGTTTATATCACAAACAAAATGGTGATCTTACAAACCTGCAAAAAGAACATGAACAAATAAATATTACGGATCGAACTCAACACATTCAATATTCAACATAAAGGAAATGTTGCATTTATTTTGAGAGTTTTCTGTCATTTTGCAGGTGGAGTACGAAGAGCTTTCGAATCCAGTTACGAATATGGAAAGATAGAAGGCCTGTGACGCGATTGTGTGTTAGACATCTGCGTATATCTTGTAAATGCCTAGATTAAGGTTAGGTACTTTCAACTTAAACTATTACTTCTATCCATTTCTTTTAAAAATGGAATCAGTAGTTTTGGTCAGAAAGAGGGTTCATGTTAGTATAAATGGCAGCATGCAATGCAGTATAACGTAGTAATTCTACTGTAAGTGAAATTTGGTCAATGTAAACTAGTTGTCTCCATAACCATATTCATGGATATAAAGATGGCATGTTTTGTATATGTGCTTGACCTTGATCATAGCTCTAAAGCTAAGGGCTGTTTACTACCTTTTTACTTCAAGAGGCACTTACCCGATCACAGATGTTTACACCAATCTCCTCTCACCGGTTCATGATGTTGACCCGACCTGGTAAGCTAAGGGAGGGGATCTATTAGGGGTCGTTTACTAAACGCTTACCCAGTAGGTGCTTACCGGGTAATTTTCCTCATTGGACGAATATGGCAAAACCCAATAATCTTACCTGGTAAGAGCGATGATAAGGATAGAGTCTTACCCGGTAAGTGAGGGTGACGACTCTTACCCGGGTAAGCGCTTACCATATATATATTGTTGCATACGATACCATTTTGATATATTACAATCTTACCTAGAAAATAAATTATATAAGCGCTTACCGAGTAAGCATTTAAGTAAACAGCCCCTAACTCGGTTTGTAATTAGTGTTGATCTAAACCACACTCTTACCCGATTAACTTTTATTCAATTTGTATTAGTAAACGGTCCAAAAGTCCAAATAAACCTGATCTAGCCTACTCTAGTATGTCTTTATGTATTTGTCACATTAAGTGTCAAAAGTTCTCTTTAGAGTAAATTACAAATTTCATTTTTGTAGTTATTTAAAATTTTGGGTTGGGTCCCTCAAACGAAATAATTATATATATGGTCATCATGATTTCACTTTTGTTATGGATTGGGTCCTTTGCCCTGATTTTACTAAGGTCGTTTACCAAAAGCTTACCCGGGTAAGAGCTTACCGGTAAAATTCTATACTATCTCTTACTTACCAGGTAAGATTTTAGTCAACAAAAACGGCATCGTATGCAACAATTTACCCGGTAAGCGTTAACCGTGGTAAGAATCGTAGCTCTCACTTACCGGGTAAGACTTTCGGTCTTTGTCTCGCTCTTACCCGGTAAGATTCTTGGTCCTTGTTATATTCATCCGGTAAGTTGATATGACTTGGTAAGCGCTTACTTGGGTAAGCGTTTAGTAACGGCCCCTAATTGATGCTTCGTCAAGTCATCAATAATATCCTCTTTTTTACAAAAATAAAATAAAATTAAAACACTCAATTTTCAAAAACAAAAGGTTAATATATTTTATTAATTCAATATATATTTTACTTTAACGTTGTGTTCTCAAAACCCTTTTTACGAAACAAAGGGAGGAAAATAAAAAGAACTCGTGTTTTTGTAACTCTTTTAGAAGAGATAGGAAAGAAAAGAGGAGTAATAAAAACATTCCTTCTGAAAGGAAGGAAAGGGATTAAACCCATTAAAAAATTATTAAAATTACTCAATATTTCATTCTGAATGATATATTTTAAAGGGTATATTAGTAAAAGTTGCATCATTCCATTCCTTTCCTTTCTCTATTGTTTAATAAAAAAAATTCTTTTCTTTCTACAATCAGGCCACAGGCGCCCCTCCTCCTCCAGCCTCCGACCTTCTCCTTCCCTCCCCCTACACCCATCTTCGCCTCTCGCAAGAAGTAACCAACTGTTTGAATGCAAAACTGATCATAAGATAATTGTAATTCTGAATTTTGTTTCATGAAATTAATAATTAAATAAAAAAACATTGTGCATTTTATTATGTCTATCCTATATTATGTGTTTTAATTATTTATAATAAATAACCTTAGAATAATGTATTCTAAATGTCCCTAGTTAAATATTATTTCAGATTTAAGATTAAAGTAATGTAATAATGACTAGCATATATATGGATTCATACAGAGTTTCGAATCCGCATATGGGTACAAAATGGAGATTTTGTGTACTGGACATGACTCGCTATGATAACACTACATTGGATGTCATGTGAGTGTCATAAGTGTTCTCCATGTGGTCAATGTATATGTAGTTTTTTGACTTAAGAATATAAAGTTTATTGTGTGTGGATGATTTATTTTGAGATTTATTCTAATTACTCTGTACTGGGTGACATAATGATTGTTGACAATGTTATATATCATATGATAGAACTAACATTTATCAAGATATGATTTGTCCATCCTTTATGATCTGAGTGATTTCTCTAGGCCTCTTGATAAATATATATATTGAGGAAATGCATGCATGCTCAAATAATTTACATGAGATATCATGATATGTTTTATCACTATATTAGAGAATCAAGAAACTAGAGATTAGACAAAACGAGAATGACACATTCAATGCCTCATTTTCAATCTGGACATCAAAAACGAAAGAATTAAATGTGTAAATTAAAATTGACTACAAACCGATAGTTCATTGTATCACTAATTCTCGTCATTTGGGTGACGGTGATGTATTGTTAGATACCGCTCATCGTTTATAACTATAAATACGAGATCTATTTATTATTAACATGTCAAGAACCTACTGTGTCACACGCTTTGAACATATTTAAATAAAGTGTTTTAGTAATTAAATTATTTAATTATTATATCTAATTTTGTATTGATTTTAATCTGATTAAATAAAAATCAGCTACTATTTATGATGGGCATAAACTAGGTTGACTAGGGATGGTCTTAAAAGGAAAACAATGGTATATGGAAACTCTTACACTCAAGTAAGATGTAGAGATGGTGGTCTTATGCCATACTTCTCATAACCAGTGGCGGACACAGTGGTCAAAAGACCCGGGGGGGGGGGGGGGGAAGGATCCCAGTCAAAAAGTCAATTTTTTTACCTAGGTTAACATTTATATTTTACATTAGTTACCTTACACTTCCCCCCATTAGATTTTTCCAGGTGCCCCCAACTAGTTGTCGCGATTTCAACCTTCACCGGTACCCACTCCGGCACTCTTCTCCGGCAGACTGCAAAGTTTGTTTTTTATTTACTGCTTCATTTCTCCATTTATGCTTAGTGCTTACTGCTTGTCTTCATTTATGCTTACTATTTGTCTTCATTTCTGCTTACTGCTTCTGCTTACCGCTTCTACTTATAGCTTACTGCTTTCCATTTTTTTAGTCTGAATCTGCTTTCCATTTTTTAGTCGAGCAAAAACAAAAGTGCAAAACTTACTGCTTCTGTTTCCATTTTTTTAGCTTTTGGTTTGGTTTACTGTTTCTGCTTCTGCAGCTCTGCTTACTGCTTACAACTTGCTACAACTAATAGAAGAAGAGTAGTTGAAGATAACCATAAATAATAGAATATCATATGTCATTGTGGCATTGTGGAATCCCATTTAATGTGAAGTAAATTCTACATAATTGCCCAGCATCCCAAATCCAATAATACATCCATATGATCCATGTACTTTAAAAGATATTTGAAGACCTTAGATGAAAACAAATGTTATCACTTACTTTTTGGTTTACTCCATTTCTGCAGGTTTGCTTCATTAGAGAAAATTGGGGTTTTTTAAGCTTTTGGTAAAGTGTAAAAGTAGGTAGACAATTGGGGCTTTTTAAGCTTTTAGTAAACTATTAAATATTAATATGAGTAGGTAGAGTGGACAAATACTAATATTTAATAGATGTTCATTTGCTATTTAATTTGTATTTGTAATTTCCATCCCCATGTTCATATAAGACTTCCTTTGTTTCTATTTAATTTGTATATATATATATATATATATATATGATGTATTTGTATTTGTGTTAGAAGATGGAAAGATTTCTGAAAAAGAAAGGCATCAACGTCCGATAATAGTGAAGAACCTTTAAACAACTTGCGCAATGATCTTCCCTCGATGCCTAGGAAAGTTGATTTGAATAATCTTCCATCGGATCCAGCTGAAAGGAAAAGAATTTTACAATACCACCCTAATCAAAGAGATGAAATCAGACGAAACTATTTGATTAAAGGACCGTGTCAACCACGTGGTCACGACTTTCCAAGAAGAATAATTGGGAACAAGGCAAGACGTTTTAACCCGGCTTGGTTTGATCAATACGGTAATTGGTTGGAGTATAGTTTAAAAGTAGATAAAGCTTTTTGCTTATGTTGTTACTTATTTAGAGATCAATGTGGTGGACAAGGTGGGAGTGATGCTTTTTAACCGAAGGCTTTAGTAGTTGGAATAAAACCGAGAGATTGACTACTCATGTGGGCCACATTAATAGTTTCCACAATAGAGTTGTTAATAAATGTGAGGACGTTATGAGACATGGTCAATCAATTGTCGTCGCCTTACATAAACAAAGTGATATTCAGAAGAATGAATATCGTTCCGGTTGAATGTTTCTGTTGATGCTGCTAGATTTTTGTTGAATGGTGCATTACCTTTTCGTGGTCATGATGAGTCAGAAACGTCTCTTCATAGAGGAAATTTATTGGAATTAATAAAATTAATCCGGGATCAAAATGAGGCTGTTGGTAAGGTTATATTAGAAAATGCTCCTGGGAATAATCTAATGGTGGCGCCCAAGTATTCAAAAAGATATGGTTCACTGCTTTGCACAAGAGATACTCAAACATATTTTCCAAGAGATTGGTGATGATGTGTTTTCCTTACTAGTTGACGAGTCGAGTGACATATCTAAAAAGGAACAAATGGCTGTGGTTTTACGATATGTTACAAATGGGATTGTTAAGGAAAGATTTATTGGTCTTGTACATGTAAAGGACACAAATGCTTTATCTCTTAAATCTGCAATTGAATTCTTATTTGTCGAACATGATTTGAGTTTGAAAAATGCTAGAGGCCAAGGTAATGATGGATCAAGCAATATGTGTGGCCAATCCAATGGTTTGAAAGCTTTAATCATGAGAGAAAATAGCTCAGCATATTATGTCAATTGTTTTGCTCACCAACTTCAGTTAGTTGTTGTGGCGGTTGCACATAAACACATCGAGACTGGAATTTTTTTTGACATGATAGCATCTATGATGAATGTGGTTTGTGCTTCTTGTAAGCGAACAGATATGGTTCGAGAAAGTCAAAAGGAGAAAGTACAAGAAGCCATTGGTAGCGGTGAAACAGAAACATGTAGTGGGTTAAATCAAGAGCTTTCTCTTGGAAGACCTGGAGATACACGATGGGGTTCACACTACAAAACACTTAAGCGTTTTTTTGATTTGTTTTCATCTGTTATTGAGGTGCTTCAGTATGTTGAAG